TTGTTTATTTTTGGAGACAGAGATGCGTCCAAACAATCTTATGATGGAATGCACTATGAATCAATCCATGTTTATGAAGCCCACATGTTTTCAGGACTTTTTTTTTCCCCTTAAACAAGTTTGGATTTTTTGTTTTTGGGGGGGTTGTTTTTTGTTGTTGTTGTTTTTTGTTTTGCTTTGTTTTGTTTTGTTGGTCCCTAGAGGGTCCTAAATCAACAAGTTATTAGATGAGAAATGGAAACTCTGTCGCAGAAAACACAACTGCAGCTAGACAACAGAAAACAGATGCCAATTATTTGCCAATGCTGCTGGAAAACAAAACATTTTATGACATTTACTTTGCCTTAGCAGAACTGCTGCTGATGCCAAAGAAATATAAAGTGGTCAAATTACCAGCAGCCGGTTTTGAAATGTGGGGTATTATGATTTGGAATCTTGCTCTGCAATTGGCCATTCTATGACCTACATATTTCTCTAAACATTAATTCTATAGGCAACTTGATATTTTAACAGATATATAAAAAGAATATGTGTAACTGACATCTATAATTAAATATCTTATATATTTCAATATGTTATCCCATTGCCTTCTAATTCTGCTAGTCCTTTATATAGGTATATAAATAATTTTTGATGTTTGCTACTTGAAAGTGATTTCCTTGACACATATTTTTATTTCACGTGACAAAAGCTTCAAATTAAACATCTTTCTTGCATTGAATCCAGCTGAATTATTCATTGTGAATGTGATGTCACAAGCAATGTTTGAGTATTTTTTCTCCAGTAGTTAACAGAGACTTAATTTAGTCACAAGCAATATCCATCTAGCGACACAAGAATATAAATTTTGCATGAATATTTTTAAATGAAATGTCTTACTTTTGAGACACATTTCTGAAGAAATATCTTGGACCAACTTCACTGAAAGGAGCAGTTACATCAAATAAATTTCTACTTTTATGAGCATGACACTGCACTGTGCTAAAGATCTGGATTTGCAAATAAAGCCTTTTGGAAAATCTTACATAATAAAAAAGTACCTAGCTCTCCCTCTCCTTCTCTTCTTAGTGATTTGAGCTATCTTTCAGGGTGTGAAGAAAAGCAATTAATGCATTTTTCTTCATAGTATAGAGTTACCACAAGCAATGGTGTTATAAAATCTGTCATAAGTGTCTACATTCCCTCAAGAAGTGTCCTGAGTGACTAAGAGGTGAATTAAATTAGGGATAGCACTTTTATCACTGTGTATATGTTGAAAATGTAAGCTGAAAAATGATGATCAAAGTAATTTAAGGAATATCATGCTTCTCAGTTTTTAATATGCACATGAATCACCAGGGATTTTGTCGAATGCAGATTATGATTCAATAGTTTTGCCAAGGGGTCTGCAATTCTGCATTTCTGCAAGTTCCCATGATATTTTCAAAGCAGCTGGTCCATGGACTGCCCTTGTAGAAGTAAGAGTGAAGATGACCTGACATGGGGCCATTCTTCTTTGCACACAGTTTTCTGAAGTATCCACAGTCAATCTCAATTTCAAGGAGATTGACTAACTTCTAGTCAGGACTCAGAAAACCCAGGTTCAGCCCATCTCATGACTAATGATTGTTCTCAACTTTCTGGTTCCAGGGTAATGTATGGATGCTGAATGGAACTGTCTAGGACATGCACCTTCTCCTTGTTAGATTCAACAATACTAAGACCTTATATGGAGTGCGTGTGAGCACATGCTTAATGCACTTTTGAAGAGAGAGAGAGAGAAAATTTAAGCTAGAGACAGATGAATACAATATGTCCTGATTAGCAAAAAAGGGAAAATATAATTACATCCTGAGGTATGACCCAAAGAAGCAGTGCGTCCAGTTCCCATTAGCATGTCTTTCTAACTTAGACACCAATCACACTGAACATCTGTATAACCATCATAGCAAAGGAAAAGGAAATTTAGTCTCATTTATTTTTACTCCCATCCTCCTCAGCAACAGAATCTATATATGGCCATGGATTCTAGATAGTATTTTAACAACCCTGATGCGCATTCCTTTGACCTACATCTAGCCAAGGTAATGGTAAGCCCAGCTCCCTTTATTTCATTCTATCCTCAGTTAGAAGAAAGCTTTTTATTACATCAAAACTACAGGGGACCATCCCACAAACTATGAGTATCCTAGATTACATTCTCTGAACCCCTACTCCCACTCTATCATATTTTCCAAACACTGAAGAAAAATTGATGGCTGCTTCCTCAGTAGACAGGTATTTGTGCAGATTGTCTATATGACTAGGGAGTAGCTGGTAGGATTTCAAAACCATTTAAGGGGGAAAAAACATTTAGTACCTTTCGAAAGATTTTGGGACTGACGACCATATTGGATGAATGGATTCTGAACCACATCACACTCCTCCCACTCCACCTCCAGTCCCCAAGTACTACTGATCTTTCCACAGATATATTTCTCTGGCTCTTATTTATTTGTGCTCAGCCTGACTTCATGACCACATGCCTAGAGTGTTGCAATTGTCTTATAACTGGTCCACTTGTCTCGTGTTTTTATAAATTTAAAGAACAGCATCTCATCCATCCCTTCATATTCTGTTTTCTTCTTAATAATTACCTTAATTGGCTCCATTTAGCTACAGGAATAAGTCTGACTTCCACACGTTGTTGTGCAAAGTTGTCCACAAAATATATTTTGAACTTCCAAAAAGTTGGCCCCTACCATGTCCCAAACAATCGATGCTTATTATCCTGAGTGCTTAGATTTTACTGACTTTCCAACCATTTATCTATAACCTAAACAACGGTCCATTAATTCTTCCTTGAAGCCTCCTATGACCATTCCAATCCTTACGAATTCCTTCCACAGCTGTTGTTACTACTCATTTTGTTACTTGTTCATATACTACCTGTGTTTTTTTTCCTATTGCTATTACTTGCTTTTTTTTTGTTTGTTTGTTTGTTTGTTTTAATTATGTTATGTTAATCACCATACATTACATCATTAGTTTTTTTATATTAAGTATATTTATTAAGCACAACTAAAAAGATAAACATAAAATTCATAATCATTTTGGGAGATTTTAACACAGTTCTCTCAGTAATTGGCAAAACAAGCAAGCAAACGAACAAAAAAAACCATTACTGTAAAGGATATATGAACAATGTGATTATCATAAAAATCTAATTTATGTATATAATATATTGCAAGCTATAATTGCAAAATACATAGTCTTTTTTTTGTTGGAACAGTTATGTTTATTTTTTTATGACCTAAATTCCCATATTTTTTTTAATTATGTTATGTTAATCACCATACATTACATCATTAGTTTTTGATGTAGTATTCCATGATTCATTGTTTGCGTATAACATCCAGTGCTCCATTCAGTACGTGCCCTCTTTAATACCCATCACCAGGCTCACTCATCCCCCCCACCCACCTCCCCTCTAGAACCCTCAGTTTGTTTCTCAGAGTCCATAATCTCTCATGGTTCGTCTCCCCCTCCAATTTCCCCCCCTTCATTTTTCCCTTCCTGCTATCTTCTTCTTCTTTTTTTTTTTTTTTAACATATAATGTATTATTTGTTTCAGAAGTACAGGTCTGTGATTCAACATTCTTACACAATTCACAGCACTCACCATAGCACATACCCTCCCCAATATCTATCACCCAGCCACCCCATCCCTCCCACCCCTCACCACTTGCTTTTAAATGCTATGTTTGTCATATATAGGACTTTTGTGTCCATATCTCTATAAGGCTAAGGAATTGGAGTCAGTCTGGATTTGAGTCTTAGTGAGTAAATGCTAATTTTCGTCTGTAAATCTAGGATGAAAACATCCAGTTTTTCAGTATTATTGTGGTGTTTCAAAGATAATAAATTTGAAGTACCTAGAACAATCACTGACATATAGTTTTATTCTCAGAAAATGTTAGCTTTCATTAAATGTTGATATTAACAGACACTAAAAACTTTGCAAGCTATGACACATATCCATCATAGTACATAGAAGAAGGTGCTGTATAGACTGGACATATAAAATGTTTCTTTCATGTGATTCGATTGAACTTTTCTGAATTAAATGTTAACTTGTGGCTAAAGAAATTATGTGATAGAAATCCTGGCCAACTTATTATGCATCTATTGTTCCTAGAAAGTAATTCCTTTATAGCCATATGCAACCTGTACATGGCTTCTGTGCCTTTGAGATACTATCATTTATTTGACATGATTATACCTTTCATAGTCACTCATCATTAATACCCACAGTATAGGACAAGTTTAGCAAAATTATTAACTGGAATCAGAAGAAATTTTAAAAATTGATCTTATAAATCACTTTGTCTTCATGAATTAAAAAATAATAATCTAGATTTGACCTAAACTGTGATTATGAATAAACTAACCAAAGGTCTTGAGGAGGTGAATGTAACTTATTTCCATACAAATACCACAAAATTGGCCCATGGCAGATATTAAATAAATTGTTATTGAATGAGTGAATGAATGACATACTATGAATTAAATTCCTATGAATCTCTAGTAATAGCTTTGTCTTATCAATGTTGAAGAATTTCTAATTTATAATTTACCAAAAGAATTTAAGTTTCTTAATCAATACACTTACTCATGAATTATCTAAATATCAATCCCATCATATGTTAGGATATGTATTCATGTAGTAATAGGGAAATTGATAAGTATGGATATCTGCCATCAGAAATTGTTTAGGGGTGCCTGGGTGGCTCAGTCGGTTAAGTATCTGCCTTCAGCTAGGGTCATGATCCTACAGTCCCAGGATTGAGTCCTGCATCAGGCTTCCTGCTCAGCAGGGAGTCTGCTTCTCCCTCTGCCCTTCACCCTCTTGTGCTCTCACTTTCACTCTCTCTCAAATAAATAAATAAAATATTTTCTTAAAAAAAAGAAGAAATTGTTTAGCAGTGATACTAGTATGCTTCTATCACTAAGCTAACTGTATTTTTAAAAGAGAAGATCCAAGCTTTGCGCAGTGGCAGTATCGTAGCCAATGAGGTTTATCCGAGGCGCGATTATTGCTAATTGAAAAGAGAAGATCCATAAAGTGATTTGATTTTAATAATACTACATATCATGACTTATGTATTGTTGATAACAAGTAATTTGGCCTCATCAAACTCTTACACATCTTGGCCATTAATTATGTAGCAGAATTTTCATGATGAGGCTATTAATTTAACTGAAGACATGTGATTTCTACGACATGCAGTTTTCAATGCCATTGACTGTAGAACACTTCCAAAGTACTAGAGCTTTTACGGCAAATTGTGGATCTGAAAATACCTCCTAAATATCTTCTTTGACTTTCTCTTGAAGATACATTGTGAAAGACCTGGAATTAAGAACACATTTTTGACATCTATAAACATCTAAACAAATTAACCTGCCTAGTGGAACTGATGGGTATTTATGCTCAAAGCATCCACTTGCCTCTGGATCAAGTATTGTTGTGATGGTTTTCGATCCATATCTGAACAATTTTTCTATGGAATGTTTGAAGCTATCTTTTATTCCTGTTTAGCCAACTAGAATGTCATTTAGCTCAAATTGTACACCTGAGGCTGTCTCTCTTCCTCTTTATTTCATTAAGATGTAACTTGATTTATAATCAGCACTATTTTCTTCAGACAGACATTAATCACAATAGGCTTGATGAATTTATTCCATCAAGGATGAGTCCAATTTCATCATTCTGAAAATCTACAGTTGACTATACAACAATCATTAACATCAATAAGACTTTTTATTTAATTTTTGAAATTAACATATATACACCTTAAAAAAATGTGTTATATTCCTGGCATACTTAATTATTAAAACTGTTACTAATTATACATGTATTAATATTAATAAAACGACCATTTATTGCAAAAATAGGGAAAATGTACTATGAGGGATATTATACTGAAAACTGGAACAGGTAGTACTAACTTCAATATTTTGTTATTCTATTTTTGAAACATTAATATTTTATAACATTATGTGGATTCAAAACACAAGTCAGCCTTGGAATAATCATGGTCATGGAATTATTATTTTAGTTTTTGAAAGCATGGGAGGATGTTAAATGGGGCATAATGATTCATAAAACTTGACTTAAAGTTGAAAGCTATGTTTGATAGTGGATCCATTGAAAAATGAATTTCTAGTTCTTTAGCCAACATCTTCCTTTTGATAGATTTTCTATTCTCTGAAAAATATTATATAGGTGAGTGTGGCATTTAAATTAGGAGAGAATGGGAAGGTTTATTATCTCTGTTCTATGGCATAAAAAGAAAAAAAAAAAAAACCCTCATTCTCAAATAACCAAGTGTGAAATTACATTTCAGGCTAACTGAAAATCAAGAAGCTTCTGATACATTAAATTTAAGAATCTAATTATTTTAAATAATTATACATAAGTACCTCTAATGTGTATAAAAATGATTTACCCCTTATTTTCAATAGGCCCTGGAAACATTTTAATTCTCCTCTTAGGTCCTAATGTGTCTGTATGTTATGAACCTGAAAACTCTTTTTATATAAAATGTTAATATAGATAGATAATGACTATACAAGTCAATGTTTAGATTATGATATATTCTAATCTACAATAGGAAAGCATAGTTGGAAATTCTTCAAGTGGTATTTGGATTATACATCTATTGTCAGAGGTATTTTTTTTTTAAGATTTATTTATTTATTTTATTATAGACAGAGACAGAGAAAGAAAGCATGCATAGAGGGAGGGACAGAGGGAGCTGGAGAGAAAGAATCTCAAGAAGACTCCCCACTGATCATGCATCCTACAAGGCACTCAACCTCAAGACCCTGAGCCGAAATCAAGAGTTCAATGCTTAACCAACTGAGCCACACAGACACCCCCAGAGTTAATATTTTAAATATTCTATACCCATTAAGCTTATTATGAGCCTGAATACATATATTTAACAAGTTTAAAAATCACAAAATGTCATAAATTGAGTGGATATTTTTAATATAAGCATTCTAATGGCATTCCTATTAAAAGTCTGCCTCATTAAAGAAGATTTCTTCTATTGATCTCATGCACTTTAATTCAGTGTGTTCTTTTCCTTGGATTTTTATCTGCAATATAAATGTAATTTATTTGCCTTTCTAAACAAATTATCAGATTTCTTTTTTTTAATTTTTTTTATTATTAAATTTTTTAATAGAAAGTTTAACACTTTTCATGACTAAGTGTCTTCAAGTATCCAGTATATTTTAGTTTGGCTTAATACCTAATATAGTCTCCATCTAAATAAAACCTGCTTTGATTGTCCCTGGCCAAATTAGTTGCTTAGTGTTCTATGCTCTCACATGGAAGTAGAGAAAGAAAGAGGCAAAACACTTTTTGAAGAAATAATAGCTAAAAACATGTCAAATTTGATGAAAAACATTCATCTATATACCCACTAAGATAATCAAACTCCACAAAAGATATCCACAAAGAGATTTACATGTAGACACATCACAGGAGTTAGACTATTGAAAACCAAAATCAAAAGGGGAATTTCAAAACAATGAGATTAAAAGCTACCCAGTACATGAAAGAGAATTATAATAAAATTAACAGCTGACTTTAATCAGAATTGACAGAAGCCAGAAAGCAGTGAGATGACATATTCAAATATCTGAAGAAAATAAAGATGTTAACCAATAATTCCAAAACTAGCAAAATTATGGGGTTTTTAGAAGATTTTTATTTATTTATTTGAGAGAGAGAGACAGAGATAACAACAGAGATAGGAAAGAGATGGCCAGTGGGGAGGAGAGGGAGAAGACAGGGCTCAATCCCAGGGCCCTGGGATCATGACCTGAGCCAAAGGCAGATGCTCAATGGACTAAGCCACCCAGGAACCCCAACTAGCAAAATTATGTTTAAAAATGAGGAAAAATAAAAATGATTGCCATTCCCCCCTCCAAAAAAGATCAATATGTAACTGAAATTTATGAAAAAATGCATCCAACAACAGAATATACCTTCCTTTCAAGAGCAAATGGAAAAATTATCCATGACAAATCATATGCTGGGTCATAACAGAAAAATCAATAATTTTAAAAGGAATGAAAAGAAATATGTTCTCAAACACAAAGAAGTTAAATTAGAAATCAACAAGAGAAAAAAATTAGGGAAATTCCGAACTTTGAAAAATAAATCATACATTACTGAGTAACCTATGTCTCAAAGAAGAATTCACAAGAAAAATTAGGAAACATTTTGAACTGAGTGAAAACAAAACCTCACATATATAAAACGTTTTGTAATATAGCTAAAAGTATACTTAGAGGGAAATTTTTAACTTTAAACGCCTATATTAGAAAAGATAACTTCAAATCAATAACTTCCTACCTTAAGAAGACAGTAAAAGAAAAAAATTAAACTTAAAGTAGAATGAAATAAATAACAAATATTAGCACAGAAATTAGTGAAATAGAGAAAAGAAAAAATCAATAGAGAAAATCAATGAAACTGAAAGCTGATCCTTTGTAAAAATCAAAAAAGTTGATATAACTTTATTGGGGGTGCGGAGCAAGACGGCAGAGGAGTAGGAGACCTAGATTTCATCTGGTCCCAGGAATTCAGCTGGATAGGAATCAAACCATTCTGAACACCTACAAACTCAACAGGAGATCGAAGAAAAGAATAGCAGCAACTCTCTGAACAGAAAAGCGACCACTTTCTGGAAGGTAGGACGTGCAGAGAAGTGAATCCCAGCCAATATTCGGGAAGATAGACAGTGGGGGAGGGGGCCTCCATCGGCCACTTCTGGCAAATGATAGAACCACGGAGCACAAAATTGGAACTTTTAGAAGTTGGCTCCACTGAGGGATGTCGCTCCAGTGGCTAAGCGGGGGGTGGAACCCTCGTGGGACAGTGTGGTCTCAGGACCCTTGGGTTCACAGAAAGACTGGGGGTGCCTGAGTGCAGCAGAGCTCCCAGGTATCAGAGCAGGGAAGCCTGCTGCAGAGACTGAGCCAAGGTGCGGGCTCTCAGCTCAGGGTTGCCATAAACCGGGATCCGCGGCACAGTCAGGCCACTGCTCCTCCAGCAGAGACCCAACAAGCGGCAGATCCAGGGAGACTCACCTTCCTCCCCTGGGAAGAGTGGCGCAGGAGTGCACCACAGGGATCTGCTGGGTTTGGAGACTCCAGACCGGGTCGGGTGCCAGAGATAGAAATGCTCGGTCACAGGCTGGGTGAGCACGGAGTGCAGCCAGAGACCAGGGAGACGGGAGTGATTGACTGCTTTTCTCTGGGGGCTCACTGAGGAGTGGGGACCCAAGTTCTCGGCTCCTCTGGGGTGGAGATTGGGGGCTGCCATTTTCACTATCATCCTCCAAAACTGTAGGGAAAGCTTGCAGGGAACAAAAGCTCCCAAGAGCAAACCCGAGCAGATTACTTAGCCCAGACTGGCAAGGGTGGGGCAATTCCACCTCTGGCAAAGACATTTGGGAACCATGGCAACAGCCCCCCCCACCCCCAGAAGATCAGCAAGAACAGCCAGCCAAGACCAAGTTTACCGATCAATGAGAATGGCAGAACTCCAGAGCTAGGGGAATACTGCACATAGAATTCAAGGCTTCTTTTACCATGATTCTTTAATCTTTCAAAGTTAATTTTTTTTAAGTGTCTTTTTTTTTCTTTGAATTTTTCTTTTTCCCTTTTTCAACCAACATCTTATCAACCGCTTTTTTAAAAAACATTTTTATTTTTCATTTTTAGAGTCATATTCTATCCCTTCATAGTATTTACCCTTATTTTTGGTATATATATATATATATATATATATGTTGTACTCTTTCAAAATTTTGAGATACACTTTATTCTAACAGATCAAAATATACCCTAAATCTCTATTGTATGGCTTTGTTCTAGTCTCCTGCCTGATCACATTCTCTCCCTTTTTTTAAAATCCTCTTCTTTCTTTTTTCAACCAACTTCCTATCTGATCAATTCCTTCTATAAAATCTTTTATAATTTTCATCTTTACAGTCATATTCCATCCTTTCATCATATTAGCCTTTATTTTTGTACATATATAGGTTTTTCTTTCTTTAAAATTTTGGGAGGCACTTTCTTCTAATAGACCAAAATATGCCCCA